GCTGATATGTGTGTGAGCCAATCTGTAAAGAAGCCCTGCCTGCCTCAGAAGGAGCTGGAGCCCAGCCTGTCCCCAGGCTGGCCACAAGGGGGCACTTAATCCCTAAGTAGGCACTCAATGTGAGTAGCCTCTGCAGACACCAGACCCTCTGCTCCCCACTGGGCACTGACTGCTCCCAACTCCACCCATTGCACTTTTGATCTCTATTTTTTCCTCCTTTAAGAGAAAAAAATTTTTTTTTATTTTGGAGTAATTCTAGATTTACAGAAAAGTCAGATAGTACCGTTTCTGTATACTCTTGATCCAGCTTCCCTTAATGATTAACATCTTACATAACCATGGTCCTGCCCCCCTTTTTATGCCCAGCTTGCCAGTATAGGCCAGTTGCCAGGAAGGCCCATGTGGCCTGGGTGTGGAAACACCTGTATTAGAATCATCTCTGCCTCAGCTCCTGCTGGGTAACCAGTACCACCAGAAAAGCTGTGGTGTACACAGTCCCCTGGCTTCAAGTACCCAGGGAGGCTGTCATGGCCCAGGACTCAGGTAGCATGGGCTGCATCCTAACGGCTCAGCCAGGGCAGTATGTGAGCTCTCAGGCAGATTCACCCACTGGGTGGCAGGGATGGGGACAGGTGGCAGATTAGCAGAAGCCCCAGGGTGGGGTGGTGTCCTGGGGCAGACTGGACCTGCAGCTCAGTGCAGCAGGCACCCTCTAAAGGCGCAGTACCTCAGACTCTGCAGGTAAGCAGGGCATCTAGGCAGATACAGTTGTAAAATATGCAATTTCTGGGTCCCACAGCGCGTGCTATGAGGAACTGTGAGGCCTCCCTCAGAGCTTTCTCCTGGGCCAGTCGTCCCTACTTTTGGTGATGGAAAGAAAAGCAAGGAAAACACAAGTCACTCCTACCTCTGCACCTACCCTCCCACACACGCACTCTTCCACCCCCATCTTCTCAACAGTCTGGAAGCATAGGTTCTGTCCTCAGCTAATGCAAGGGAAAGTCATAAGGGCTTTGGAAGACTCGGTGCTCCAGCAAATAAGTGACTCGGGTTTCTAAGGTATGTACAGCACTAACTACCCCTGTCAAGGTTGATGCAGCCCTCTGGCTTGCCTCTGTTTTGTAGCCAGACTGATTATTTCTAACCTCTGTAAGCACTGTCTGGGAGTAATCAGCTCAGTCTCTACTGCCCCAGGTTGTGGAGTATGGCAGGTGAAATAAGCCCTGGCAAGGACAAACTTGACTAATGGAGAAAGGTGATAGAGGAAGGAAGACTGGGACATTTTTGTTTCCCCTAAGTTATCTGAGGTTCAGTGGTTTTGAGAGGAAGAAGGGCTGGGAGCAGGGGAAGCAGTGAGGAGACAGGTGTCCCGCAGGGTTGTGAAGATCAAGTGGTGCTGAAAGGCCCTCAGCACAGGTCCAGGCACATCGTGAGCACCTCTGTAAACGCCAGTTTAAGAGAGACTGCAGGACCTGGCACATAGTAACCCAACCTCGGGCTGGGTCTCAGGCCTGGGCTAAACAGGGCTGTTTCCAGAGCTGGCAGAGGAGGGGGACTTTATGTCCCAGGGGCAGCAGAGTGGCAAGGAGAATACAGCAAGAGATTATTCAAGGGGGTCCACAGCCAACTGTGTTCTCAGTTTCCCTGTCCAACACTACCCATGCATGATCAGGGGAGGCTGGGAACTTGGGCAGGTGGCAGGTGACACCCTGCTGTGGTGACCCAGAGTTTGGAGTGCCCAGGCCTTCAGTGGGTGGGGTGGGCTCCGGCTGGAGTGAGAGAGGACTGTCCTGGAGCCCATTCACCCCTGTGCTCCTCCTGGTCCCTATGCTACCCAGTTGGGGCCTGAATTCACATCCTGCCTCTGGCTGGTCCTGTGCTGAAAAAGAGACTTACCTCTCTTAAGTCTTGATCCTTACCTGTGAAATGGGAATGACGGTATCTCAAAGTTACTCCTAAGACTAAATCAGGTAATGTGCCTTACCAGACCTCAGAAAAATAAATGGGTTGTCGCCTCCTCTTTGACTAGGCTTGCCTGGTGGGGGGGTCTTGTCTCCCAGACCCTGAACAACTTTGTGTTGAGAGGGGCCAAATGAAAACAGGCTGAGATTAGACCTGTGCCATGAGAGAAGGGAAAGGGATGTCTCTGTGGAGGGCGGCTGATACAACCGAACCTGGACAAGCTCACACTAAACCCAGCGTGTTCTAGCTACTTACTTACTATACCAGGCTCTAGAGAGAAGAGTTGCCAAGAGAGGAGGTATAAAAATAGATACACAAAAATAGAACTAAAAGTTGCCAAAGGACTGGTTTAATTTATAAGATTCATGTATTCATGAACTTTCAAAAAGTTTAAGATCCTTACTGCTTATTACTGAGTTTGATGATGGTTGTTTTGAGATTTTCTTAAAAGTGCCTGCAGATCCTCTGAGGCCAAGGTCAACCATCAGACATTCTAATGGGAAGCGAGGCTGACGTGAGCCACAGCTCACGAGTAAAGGGTGGCTGGGGGTCCTTCTTGATCTGGGGATTTGTTTGGCACTCAGATCTCTTAATACAGCGCTTAGCCCTGACAGGGCTCAGATTTCCTACTCCATTCTGAGGAAACGCAAGAGTACCAGGCTCCAGCCATGGCCTCCCACTTGCCTAGGTTTTCATCCTGCCTGCCATTGCTTTGTGCGAAAGTTTAGAGGCTGGAGCACATACTGCGTTGGCCAGGTATGAAAACCAAGATTCTTGGTTAATCTTTTAAAGCCTAAAGCCCCCCTTTTAGGAGATTTTACTTAGTCTCTTGCTCTTGGGAGATGGCTTAGATGTATCTGAAGAAATGCTCCCCAGTTCCCCTGTAGGATTCGGGACAGAGTGCTGCCTGGTTTATAAACCAAGTAGGGTTAGCCAACTCTGGCCAGAGAGCAATGGACATTTCTTACTTAACTGGCTGCCTTGGTGAGGCCACTGGTTAGGTTCCCTAGTGCTTGCCCTCCTGCAGGGATGAATGTCCTTAGGAGGAGGAGGGAAAGTAGTTGAGCCACCCTTCCTCCATTCATCACCCAAGACGGCATAAGTGGAAAGGCTGCTCAGTGGCTTTGAGCTAGCTCTCCCTTTCTGGGAGGTGTTGGCCCTGTAGAGCATGGGGTTTGTGCCCATTCATTTTCACCCTCTCTCCCCTTCCCCATCCAGTGTATGTGGTGGAAGACCAGAGAAGGGATGACCTGGGCCCATCTACCTGCCTCACAGCCTGCTGGACTGCCCTCTGTTGCTGCTGTCTCTGGGATATGCTCACCTGACCACCCCGGCTCTCCTGTCCTGCCAGCTCTGCCGCCACCGCCAACAAGTGTGCCTGCCCCCATCTCTTCTGATTGCTGAAATCAATGACTAGCTCTGCACAGACACTTCTACCTTCAACGCAGTGGGATTCTAGATTAGCAGGGGTTGCTGCTGTTTAATTCAGTGACTTGATCTTTTTAATGTTCAGATCCATTTATTGGTCTCTCACAAATGTGCTAAATGACTTTCATTTTTTTGGCCAAAGCCTTAGTGACAAAATATATATTTATAATTTCAAAATTATACATTCAAGGTAGTGGCATGATATAACATACCACTGAATGATTTCTCTGCTAATACCCTGTATGTTTCAATAAATTTGTCTAAACTTCAACTGTCTCAGTTATTCCAGATACAGTCTAAACCCTGGGTTTCTCAGCCACCGTCCAGTACATGATGAGGAGCCGATCTACCTTTTCATCCTGGCTGCTACTAGGAAGGCAGGCAGGCTCCAAGGTCAGGTGTCCTTCAGCCAGGTCAAGGAGTCCTCAGCGAGCTAGCATTCTCTCCCTAGTCCCACCGAGATATGGACTCACCAAGGAGCCACACTGGCTTTTACCCAGAGCATAGGAAAGGGCATCTTGGTAACTGTGGCTGCCCCAGGGCCTGCTCTGGAAGAAGCCACAGCTGGGGCTCAGGTCGAGACCTGAGGCTTTCTCTTCTTGCTGTCCCCTCCCAGAACCCAACCCCCTTCCAGTGACACACAAAGAAGAGAGCTGTCATAATAGAAACTAGTCAGCCAGACCATCCATCTCAGTTTTGGCCGCAGGGTGGCGCTGAGCCACCATAGCAGCAAGTCTAATTTTCCTTCTTCAGCTGGCCATCCCTGAGAGGCATAGTTGACAGCTCCTTGCCTAACCTCCTCGTCTGCCCACTTTCCCTCTGAATCAGCCAGGTGCTGATAAATAACTACCAGCTCTCTCTCTCTTTAAAAACAAACAAAAAGCCAACATTTTGTAGCATCACCTTGATTTCTGTGGAGTAAATGGTAGGTCCCACCGTAGCGGGCAGGAGTGCACTGCTATGCAGTATTTCCACCATCCAGATACAATAGACTGCTCACCTCAAAAACACAGATAATGGCTAAATTTAGTAAAGTAATTCGGAAGGGGTAAGTTCTAAATACTTATTAACCTTATTTTTAATATAATGGTAAATTTACAAACTTAATTTTTAATAATGGCTACTGTTTAACAACTGGCTTGCAACAAAGTTCCTAAAAATTAAATAATTGGCTCTCTCGAGCCAGCGCCAGCACACCACTGCCCCCACGCCTCCAGGAGGCCTCAGGATTGTAATGTCCACCCTATGAACTGACCAAAGGGAGACCGTCTTGGAGTGCTGCTGGTTTATTACCAGATTTTCTTTTACAATGTTTGGGAGGAAGTGGGAAAGGAATCTTTAGGCAGACTGCCACTGAGGCACCACTGTTGTGTCCACTTACATTCGTTCAGCTGTGCCCTGCTCTCCTTTTCCTTATCTGCATACTACATGGAGGCTTAGAAGTTGAGGGGTTTACCTAAAGGAACAGAAAAAAGAAGGCAAGGCTTCAATGCAGAAGGAGCAGGCCCACGGCCCTGGAGGAGAACAGGGAGGAGCTGAGGTGGAGAGAGCCTCTGCCTCTCTGATCCTCTGTTCTCATCCATCAGCTCAAGAAAAGCAGACTTAGCAGAGTGGGACAGATGTCTTTTATTGGTCTGACCAGCGTGACTAGTCGTAGGCCCAGGAAGAGCTCTCCTATCTGTCCCGGCTCCCATCTTCCTTCTCCTGGGGGTTCATGACTCACCCCCAGGGAAGAAGGGTGGCAGGCAGAGCCAGGATAAAAAATACAGGGATGGGATCTGAAAGGGGTTCCAGGTGATGCATAAAACACAGGGTTACCAGACCATCCAGATAAAACGTCCATCAGGCAAAGCAGAAGCAGTTTCCCTATACAGGCCCCTGGCCAGGAATGGCAGGGGTCAGGAGGAAGAGCTTCCCTAGAGGCTTCCTACTGTGCCCTTCGTGCCATCAGCATCTCCCGGATATTGTCCTCAGCTTCCTTCACACTCCGCTCCAGGTAGGATTTTTTCTGCTGCAATATGAGAAGGAAATAAGGGTTAGGACCAGGGGGAATGTGCCAAGTTGGTAGATGCCCAATGGTTATGGCTTCTCTGTGACCAGTGACTTCCAGGAGTCTATTGTCTATTGGGAGCCAAGTATACACAACTGCCCAGAGTGTTCCCCCAGCCCGACCCCTGGGCACAGGGAGGGGGCTGCTCAGTACAGGAAGCAGGAGTGCTCTCTGGATGGCAATAGCACTCTTCCCCCAGAAGGAAGTAGACTCTAAAAACAGGCGTCTTGGTACATGAAGTTATATCAGACAGACAAAGGCCAGGAAATTCCAGGACAAAGCTCTGCCCCCATAACAGATTGTCTCTCAAGGTTTTCCATGGCCCAGGCCAGGCGCCGGTAGCTGCCACTGCTGCAAAATGGACAGCATACCCTCTGCTCTGTCCAGCAAGATGATAGATAGGCTGCATCACACATCTCACCAAGGCAGATGAGTCAAGATGAAATCTGCTTTTCTAATGAAACTGCTGCCTGCCAGGAATCCAGGACAGTGACACACTGAGTAAAACAGACCTTTTGGAAGTTTACCTCTTACCCCATCTGGGTCCTAAATTAAAAATCTCAAGACAAAGAACTTTACTTTCAGGAGCCACATCTGGACCAGGATTAACAAAAGATTAGTCAAAGGAAATGATGTCTGTACATTATTTGCCCTGTGGTCACCCCAGAAGTATGGTGGCTTCACCACTGGTCCCTGCCCTGAGGACACCATTGTGGCTGCATTCCCACTTAACAGACATGAAATGAAGTCTCCCTTTTTGGGGAATACTCAAAATAATCCTCTCCCAGGGTGCATGTGACTGAGCCACACTAGAGCCAGAAATGCAAAGCCCTAGCCCAGATGCAGCCAGTGCCCTTCCCTCACCCCTCCTCCCTTCACCCAAGCAGCTGGGGGTTCACTTTGATTACTGAAGTGCCCAGGTGACCTGGGGAAGCCAGGGAAAGGCTGGGGCAGAGGGCAGGTAAGCAGCCTGGTCTCAGGCCTTGCTTGGGAACTGATCCCCAACCTCTGAGACAGGAAAATGGAATGAAGTGCTTCTATTACCTGAGGCCTTCACCAATAAACCTCTCAGGTGCCCCTTCTACATATCCCTGCCTCTTAATTTTTCCCACTCTCTGTCCAGATTTTTTTTTTTTTTTTTAAAGAAGATGTTGGGGGTAGGAGTTTATTAATTAATTTATTTATTTTTGCTGTGTCGGGTCTTCATTTCTGTGCGAGGGCTTTCTCTAGTTGCGGCAAGTGGGGGCCACTCTTCATCGCGGTGCACGGGCCTCTCATTATCGCGGCCTCCCTTGTTGTGGAGCACAGGCTCCCGACATGCAGGCTCAGCAGCTGTGGCTCAAGGGCCCAGCTGCTCTGCGGCACGTGGGATCCTCCCAGACCAGGGCTCGAACCCGTGTCGCCTGCATTAGCAGGCAGACTCTCAACCACTGCGCCACCAGGGAAGCCCCAGATATTTTTTAAATGATACATTTAGAGACTTTATAGTTTCCTTTAGGTGCCAAATGCTGAGGCATCCACAGTATTTTTTAGTAAAATTTTATTGAAGTATAGTTGATTCACAATGCTGTGCCAATTTCCACTGCACAGCAAAGTGACCCAGCTACACACATATATATTCTTTCATGTTCCCCTCCACCACGGTCCATCATAGGACACAACATAGTTCCCTGTGCTACATACCAGGACCCCACCGTTTATCCACCCTATATATAATAGTTTGCATCTGCTAATCCCACAAATCTTTATCATAGTTCTTATGTGAACCTCTGGTTCCTATTTGTCTTCTAACTTCAAATTTCTTGAAGGCTAGAAAGAGCCCGATCTCTTTACTCATCTCCCGTCTGTCCAACTTGCACACAATTCCTTACGAAAGAACAGGAGCTCCACAAAAACTCATAGTGACCATGATAATTCTATGGTTGAGGAAATTTGTTTAATTACACTGCTAAACCTGATATAGTCCTATCACTGTGACATCAGAGTGGGAACTTAAACTTCCTTTGATAAACAACTTGTGGTGAGTAAAAAAGAGGCAAATACTAGTAACTCCTGATACACAACTGAAGAATGTACATGTACTAGGTGTTGTGCAGCAGCTAGACAGCAAGTGCCATGCACCATTCTGGGTACCTTTTGGGTCCCAGACCCGTAGGAATCTAAGATAAAGGCTTGTGGAGCAAGTGGAGTTCTATCCCGGCAGTAGTCAGCCAGTGCTCAGGAGCCCAGGTCTGTTGCATTCCATCTCTGCCAACTTGCTGCCCCAGCTAGCAAAACCATAAACTTGGAGCATCAGCAAGAGCTTTTCTCCCTACTGTCCAGGTCTCTGGCCAATCAAATTCAGGTTGTAATTCTCAGCTTTAAAATTCTTCATTCTGTCACATCTCTTCCTTCTATCTTCCACTTCCAGTTTCATTACTTCTTCATGATTTTTACTACTGCATATCCTAAAGTCTTCAAGTTTCAAAAATAATGTAAAATGAACCTGTCTTTACATCTTTAGTTTAAATAGACTTACTGGACATTAAAAAAATTTTTTTTCATCCCAACAGATGGGGCATCTCTAGCACAGACCTGCTTTCTATCTGTATTTCAATAGTTCCTGTCTCATCCTCAAACATACCTAAGCCCAGAAGACCCTCATAGTCAAACCCAGACCAAAGCACATGATGTGGGTTGAACTGTGTCTCACAAAAAGACATGATGAAGTCCTAACCCCCGGTACCTGTGAATGTGACCTTATTTGGAAATAGGGTCTTTGCAGATGTAACCAAGTTAAGATGAGGTCACACTAGATTAGGGCAGGCCCTAAATCCAATGATTAGTGTCCTTATAAGAAGGCCACGTAAAAACAAAGGGATACACAGGGGAAATGCCATGCATTGATAGAGGCAGAGAGTGGAGGGTTGCATCTGCAAAATTAGGAAGGCACCAAGGATGGCCCACAACCACCATAAGCTAGAAAGAAGAAAGGAAGGAGTCTTCCCTAGACCCTTCAGAGAGCATGGCCCTGCAACACCTTGATTTTGGACTTTCAGCCTCCAGAACTGTGAAAAAATAAATTTCTGTTGTTTTAAACCACCCAGTTTGTGCTAACTTGTTATGCAGCCTTAGGACACCAATATAGCACCTGAAATGAAGGATGCTCCCAGAGACCGAGTTTATCCCAAGGTTCTTTTGGACCCACAGCTTCTACCCACACTGAATCACAGAGGCCTAGGTAAGGATCCCTAAAAGTTAGAATACTGGGATTGTACTTATCCCAGAGATAACTGTCATAGAATTGACCCAAATACAAATGAGACCATCAGAGAGAATGGAAAAAATTAAGGAACCAATGACTAAGTTAAACTTTTTCTTCCTTGAATCTCCACAGGTTAAAACCACTAGTCAGGGGCTTCCCTGGTGGCGCAGTGGTTGAGTCTGCCTGCTGATGCAGGGGACGCGGGTTCATGCCCTGGTCCGGGAAGATCCCACATGCCGCGGAGCAGCTGGGCCCGTGAGCCATGGCCGCTGAGCCTGCGGGTCCGGAGCCTGTGCTCCGCAACGGGAGAGGCCACAACAGTGAGAGGCCCGCATAACTCTAAATAAATAAATAAATAAAATAAATAATACATAAATACATAAAAGATGAGACTTTGAATAAATAAAATACATAAATAATAAATAAATAAATAAAAGATGAGACTTAAAAAAAAAAAACTAGTCAAATCAGAAACTCTGTGGACCCTGCTCTTCCCCATTCCTGTAAATAACAACTCCATTCCTGCAACTCAAGACAAAAACTTCAGTGTCATCCTTGAATCTTCTTTCTTTCACATCTGACATCCAATCAAACAACAAATCCTGTCAGTGCTATCTCAAAATGCATCCAGAATCTGACCTTAATGAAGAGCCTCCTAAGTGGTCTCCTTTCTTCTGTCCTTGACCCCCTTCAGTTTCTTCTCCACACAGTGGCCAGAGTCATCTTTCAACATTTAAAACCTTCCAATGGCTTTCCATCTCTCTCAAAATCAAAGGCAAAAGCCTTTTCAAAAATCCACGTACAGTCCTGCTCTAAGCTGACTCTGACCTCCCGTCCCATGACTCCCTCTTGCTCTCTCATTCAGCTCCAGCCATACTGGCCTCCAAGCTGTTCCTCCAACCCACCAGCTATGCTCCTGCCTGTCCTTTGCCTTTGGGTCCCTTTGTGTAGGAACTCTCTTCCCCAGATATCTACATTACTTGCTCCTTCACGTCCTTCAGGTCTTTCTCAGTGTCACCTTATGGGAAAGGCCTTCTTGATCATATGTGGCTCCATACTCTATTCTCCTCACCTTGATTTTCCTCCTTAGCACCTATCGCCACCTGAAGCGGTATTTGTCTGTCTGTTTTCTCTTATGAGAAGAAAAGGTCCATGAGGGCAACACTTTGTTCTACTCTCTAATATAGTCCCAGTGTCTAGAAGAATCGCTGGTTCATAATAGGAACTCAATAGTTGAATACAAGTACATTTATCGTGGGAAATGATGCCTTACTGATTTACTTGTACACACACTCCTTTTTAGTTTTCCCTCCCGACCTGAATGAGGAATACCCATCGGAGGAAGCAAAGGCAAAAAATGACCATTCTCCTTCAAGGTGGTTTTCAGTTTTTGACATTGCCCTCTAACCTCTGCCCCTAGATAAACACAGGTTTAAAACTCAGACCTCACTGATCCTGATGGGGACATGAAAACCTTGCTCCCACAAACAGGCCCTAAGGGTCAAAGCCCTTACGCTTTATTCTCAGGTCAACTTGTAAAACCATAAAACCATCCCAATTTCCCACGTCCTGGAGTTGAAAATCCTTGAGAAACTGCTCCATGTGATGTCAGTGTCAGGGCCGCTGTGCACTACAAGGGGATATTAATTGCTGTGGAAACTCTAGGAGGCATGTGAAACCCCACCTTCCACCAGGAGTCCTGGGAAGGCATTTGCTG